AAGCTATAAAGGTTAGTTAGAAAGGAGGAGGTGAAACTATCTGTGTTAGAAGGTGATTAGATTGGATTGTAACTGAAAACACAAACAAGATGCAATAAAGTAGTGGGAAGGGAAAAATATATAGAAATAAATATGTGTGTGTTAAATATATAAGGTCTGTCCAGAAAAGGTCCAGCCACTGTTAATATAGTGAGAACAGTTGGTGCTATAATTCAGGGGTGTCAGACTCATTTTCATGGGGAGTTGCATCAGCCTTGTGGTTGCCTTCAAAGGGCCAGATGTAACTTTAGGACTGTATAGATGTAACTACTCCTTCACAGTTAAGTGAGAGCTTGGTGCTGCCGCTGGGTAGAAACAAGGTACTGGGCCAGATAAAACAAGGTGGAGGGCCAGATTCAGCCAGCAGGCCTTATGTTTGCCACCTGTGCATTATATTGATGTAACATGGCAGCCAAGTAGAGTGGACTGGACTGCGCATGTGTGAACAGTGCTGACTTCCCTGTACTGTTCATTGAGGGCCATAGATGCTGTTGAGTGGGCATGAGTACTGTGTGGCCATGCATTCAAAATGACTGAGTGAGTAGAGCAACAAATCTGCACCAGATTTTACATCAAGCTTGAACATTCTTCCGTGGAAACTATTTGGATGATTCAGGAGGCTGCAGCTGTGGACACTGGCAATTGGTAGCTTCATCACAACAGTGCGTCCACTCATGCATCGCGTCTTGTGCAGAGTTTTTTGATGAAACATCAAATCACCCAACACTAAGCTCCCTCCTTCCCTCCCCCTGCAGCCCAGATTTGGCACCCTGGGACTTCTGGCTTTTATGAAAACTGCCATCACCTTTTAAAAGGAGGAGATTTCAGACCATCGATATGATTCAGGAAAATACAACAGGGGAGCTGATGGTGATTAGGAGAACTGTGTGAGGTCGCCAGGTGCCTACTTTGAAGGGGACTGGGGTGTCATCATCCTATGTACAATGTTTCTTATAACTTCTTTAATAAATGTCTCTATTTTTCATATTATATGGCTGGATACCTTCTGGACAGACCCTAATATGTGCATATGGTAACACACATTTACTAAATAAGGAGGAACTGTAAGGAAAGGTATTTCCAAAGTAGACTTTGCTCTACTTCTGGAGAGTGACTATGTATTTCACCTAATTTGACTGCATTTCCACAAGAATCCCAAGTGTATACTAGTAATATAATAATATAAAGGCACAGTGGAAAATATATTTTAATGGCACATTTAAGTCCTCATTTTAGGATGTCTCATAACACAGACTGTTATTGCCTAAAAAGTAATTATCTAGAAAAATTTATAATGGACTAAATTGAAGTGATTTCAGTTAGTACAGCAATGCAAAACATTTGTCCTCTGTTTTCATAGTATAGATTTTTTTAACATTTTGTTAATTGTGTTAAAATTTGCTTTAATCCAATTCTGTAATTCAGAACATAAGCTTCTACTTCTCAGAGGAGGAATATTTTATGTAGAGGTAGTTGTTTTGAAAAATGACTAATGTTTCTCTGCCTTAAGGTCTTGTCTCTTTGAGCAAAAGTGGTGCTTTTCTTTAGTGGAGTAATGTAGGTCATTAGAAATCAGATTTATATGAAAAGCTGTTTATAGACTATTCGGCATTAGGGCCTGGGATGAAGGTGTGTGTATGTTAGTGTTTTGGAAGCTCCTTAGCTGATTTCTTTGGTTTAGTTAATGTATGTTGTGTTTGTGATTGTATGTTATTTATATTTTAAGACATACAAGTAAGTACTAAGTGTTCTTTCATGCCCAGCTTAATAGCATGGAAAGAAATGTAGCTTTCCACATCCTTTGATATATATGTTTGTCAACCAACCTTTAGAAGTAGAAAATTAAAAGGAAGTTTCTTTTTAATTTACCATAAGGAAGGAGAACTATGTTAGTTTCACACTAAATAACCAAGAATCTATCTGTATGCTTTCACATTTATCTTCTAACGTAATTTAAACTCAACTCCTAAAGATCCTGTCTCTGAGCTCTGAATTTTCCAGTCTCTGGGCTTGGAATGTGGAGGAGATGAAAGAAAACAGACTTGAGGATATATAAACATGAGCTCAGACCTTCCCCAGAAAAACCCAGAACTCCCCCAGCTACTAAATTTCACTTTAAAATGTGCTTGATGCTTCATCTGAATTTTGGGTTGTCTAGGGTCATGCCAGATATTAGAAAGTTATTAATTATATGCAGGTAGAAAAGAGACTAAAATGCCTACTTGGAGAAAACCTCTGATCCTTTATCTCACTGGGATGATTTTATGTTTAATGTGCTTCTTAGAATAGTAGGGAACAAACTAGAGGTTTAAGGAGAATTTATGAGACTACCCCTAAATTTCTTAAACTGAATGAAATTTTAGTCTAAGAGGACTTTAGGTTGTTCTTGAAATAGTAAGTGATTTGTCTTGTATTAATGTTTCCTTTATATTCCTGAAAGTTTATTTTGTCAAAATTTCTATTTAGCCTGTTGAGTTTTAGTCTGTTGTTCTTTACTTTTTCCCAGCACACACACACCTTTTTTTCCCCTTTCTTTCCTGTTTGAAAAAAACTCTGGAAAGAATCAGGAAACCCATAACAACTTGTGGAATATGTTTGTAAGTGTGATAATAGAAATTGGATATTATGGGGGGTGGCCTATTACAGGGGTTCAAGGGACTGTTGACCATATACCTTTTACCTTTTAATATTACCAAAAATTAAACTATATGAATATATTGGCTATATAAAATATTAAAATGAGGTAGTTCATGATTATTGTTTTAAATAATAAAGTTCTTTTGGTAGAGTAAATTGAAAATATAGGAAACAATGAAGAAGAAAATTATCACCAGTAATCTCAACCACCTAGATAATATCTCTGTTACTGTTTTGTTATATAGATTGTCTCAGTCCAAAAGAAAATGCATGTTTATATGAGTTGTACCTTTTGACAAAATAATTTATGACATTTTATAACCTGCCTTTTAAAATTTAACAATATATTTTAAGTAATTTCCCCGTTTTTTTAAGTATTTGCTTTCATTCATTTTAATTATCATGTGGTATTCTTTCATATTTATCCTTTGTTTAGGCAGTTTACTATTGTTGGACATATAGATTGTCTTACCTTTCTCTGATATATTGTAATTCCTTGTAGGTAAATGAGCACACATCCATAATGATTTGTATTTAAGGCATTGTCAAATTACCTCCTGTAAGGGTTGTGCTCATTTGCACTCATTATGGTGTATGGGAGTCTCCCTAAACATGGCTACAAGAAACTGCCCAGGTGACTAGCCATAAAATTGTTAATTTAATGCAGTATAGTAGGTAAAACCTGAAGATAGAGTGACTTCTAGGTCCATGGTTGTGGGGAGAAAACAATCTAGGTCATAAAAGCTAATTTTATCTTATACACTATATGTAATTGACACCAGGCTGTAGTAGGTATTTTGCACAATTAAACCTAGGATTTTTGGATATTGGATTGTTGGGCTTGGCCACGATGGATAGGATTTTTGCTGTTCTAGATTGAAATCTTTTCTGCAAATAGATTAAGTTGTATTCTGCCTACTGGCTGACCTAGCATTCTATTAATGTAGGTCTGAGTAAACTGAACATTTTTTAGATTGAAATATGCTTATAAGTGGATATCCAACTGAATTTATTAAAAGATGAGAGATGGCTGACTAAGTAAGCTACACACTTGGAATCCAGGGAAAATATTACAGTTTTAATTGCCTTGGAAAATATTTACTGACCATCTCATTTCAATGTGCAGAGGTACTGTGCTGACATACTGGTAGTTTTGTGAATTTTACTTTTGGAGCTTGAGAGAGAATGAGAAGAGGTTAGGGCACGTAATTGGCAAGAAAAGCAAATGGTTACAAGTCTATTTACAATGCAGCCTTGTTTACCCACTCTTCCCCTATCTGCATTTCTGAAACTGGATTCCTTAGCTCTGTGAACTGGTTAGTGTAAGAGCACTCTTTTCGTTTAGGGTGCTTGGAATTGTAAGCATGCAGGAGAGAAGGCAATTATGTGTATCTTAGTTGGATAAGTGTATCCTGTCACTGTTAGAACTTGGTGGTGTAAAAGGATTAATAAAGAGAAGTGAGCTGGGAATGGTTATCAGCAGAAGTCTCTGTAATTGGTTCTTAGGTCTGTTTGTATTATGGACAATTCAGAGTGAAGAGCACAGAAGTGCTAGTCACAATGTTAACATTTATTTGTTAAAGAAGCAAAGACTGCTTCATTTCATATGACTTTAGTTATGAGAAAAATCTGATTTTATTGTGCAGGCTCTTCTGAGTATTGTCTGTTTTATAAAATGTAAGTGGCATTGTTATTTCACCTAATTTGGGGTTATCTGTTAATAAATCTTAAATTTTTATTATAAGAATATGGAATATAAAGATACTTTTCTGTCTAATTTTAACAGTTGCCAGTCATTTATTTATTTATTTATTTTGAGAACTAAGGGCAAAATTGAGAATATCATTTTTGTTATTGAGAGCGTAAAGGTAATGTTGTAAGAAGTCATACCTGGTTTTAGGTCTTTTTGTGTTCATCTGTATCATAAACTTGCTGTGGATTTTGGGTAGATAACCCTCTCATTTTTGTTCTTTTTTTTCTTGTGAAATACAGGGTCTGGCAGAAATAACACCTGCTTGAGTGTGGTTGGTAGGGTAATAATATGGATGTAATAATTTATAGTTTTAATTTGAACATTTCATCTAAAATATATGGTGTGCTTGAGTGTGATATTATGTTACAGAATTACACACTTACGGTTTTATAATAAAAGATTTTGTAATTAAAAGGGTAAGACCTTTTTATTACAAAATCTTTTTTATTTGTGATGGATCCTGTATTTTGTTGTGGTTATCATTAAAAGCACGGTGAAAATTAACTTTTAGTAATTAAAATGTTAAGTTCTGTCATCTGCTTAACAGTTGAATTTTTGTTTTTGTTTTCAGCATTGGTTAGATGGTACAAAGAGTATTAAAAAGCAAGTAAAAAGTAAGTGTTGAAAAAATTGTGAAATAAAAATTGAATTATATAATTATATGTTAGCAACTGATTTCTAGTAGTAGGAGCATAAGAAATCATGTTTCAGATGAATTTCTTAGCATCTCTACTGTCTAAAAATAATTACAATCTGATATGCTGATCCTAAGTTATATTGGGTTAATGGTAATTAGATTCAAGTGCCTTACAATTTGTTTCCAGGAGAAAGCCTTGCACCTTGCAAATGAGATTGAGTTCCCATGAGATGCTTAACTTTTATTTAGTAACCTCTTATCTTGGACTTTCCTTGTTTTACATCTGTCCAGTTGTGGAAAATATTTTGAGCATTTAAGGCAGTAACTTCTTTAAAAAATTAAGAATAGCTAAAAGAAGCAATTCACATAAAACATCAGTATTGTTACTATCAATAGTTGGGAAAATACCAGTGTTCAATTCATAATACATCTTGTCCTGCATAGTAACAGATTTCAGGGCACCTCAACTCTAGACTTTACAAAGTAAGGGAACCACTGGAATAGAGAGATTAATGAAGTAGGTTAAGTGAATTGGAAAGTGTGTGGGAGGATTTGCCAGGAACAATTAATAACAGGCATTCCTCTGTACTCTGGAGAAACACAGCTCTGCAGATTTTTAGGGCCGTTAGATTGCACAGTGAAAACATTTTTATTTGATGTATTTGGCCCTGAACTGTTAGAATTAATTTTCAGCCATCTATTCTTCAGAGGATGCATGATTATGATTATACTGTACAACTATTGGTATAGTTAAAAAAATGTTGATTTATCTTTTTGTGTTTAATCAAGCCTATAGTGTAAACTGAATTATTGCCACAATAACCTGTTATCTTTTGGCTCCATTTCAATGGATTTTGACAAATTTAATGACTGTAAATTCTTACTGTTTAAACAATTATAAAACAATTAAAGCTTTATTTCTTTTTTTAATGGCAGTTGGTTCACCCTATTGTCTGCATTTTCGAGTTAAGTTTTATTCCTCAGAACCAAATAATCTTCGTGAAGAGCTCACGCGGTAAGACTACTGTCCAGAGTTGTACATGGGTAAAGTTTGGTCAGGCTAGCTAAAATGTTGGATAATTGTCCATAATTCTTTCCAGCTAATGCAGTGAATTCCTTGCCCCTCATAACAAGACCTCAGACAATAGAATTTTTTTTGAAAAGTGCTTTTTAACTGTAGAATTATTTTCCTTTATTTATCAGTTTTCAAAATAAAGAGTAAATGGTTTCCTAGCATCCTCCAAAGGTAAAGAGTGAGTTCTTTTTTTCTAATCCTTATCTGAGGATATGCTCATTGATTAGAGAGAAGAGAAAAACATCGATGTGTGAGAGAAATGTTAACCAGTTGCCTCTTGTATGTGCCCCTACTGGGGATCAAACCTGCAACCTAGGCATGTGCCCTGACTGGGATTCGAACCCACAGTCTTTTAGTGTACCAACCACACTCAAAACTACTGAACCACCCAGCCAGGGCACTAGTGAGTTCTTTTTTTTAAAGTATCATTATCAACTCATGTATTTTAAGCAGGGTAGATGTGTTTTAAAACATTTGCCTTGTTTATTGATGTTCAAAATGATCTATCTTTGGCCACAGGGGTTTATTCAAGTTAGCTCCTGATTTTCTTTATTGAAAGACCATTGATTAATAAAAAATGTTAGATTTTAGCCCTGGCTGGCGTAGCTCAGTGGATTGAGCGCGGGCTGGGAACCAAAGTTTCCCAGGTTCAATTCCCAGCCAGGGTACATTCCTGGGTTGCAGGCCATAACCCCCAGCAACTGCACATTGATGTTTCTCTCTCTCTCTATCTCCCTCCTTTCCCTCTCTAAAAATAAATAAATAAAATATTTTTAAAAAGATATAATACATGTTTAAAAAATGTTAGATTTTGATTTGAATAGTTTTGAATAAACCTTAAGTAGGTTATATATATACTTATTTTACTTTTTTCCTGTGCTCTTGGTATTTATCTATTGATGATACTGTAAATCCATGACTCATTCCACATACTATTAAGTAAAAAATTGAGTTGCTGAGTACCTTCAGAAAGGGTTTCCTCTTGACTACTTTGCCAATGTGATTATAGCTGTCATCCAGTTATATTTGCGCTTGTATCCCTTCACATATGAAGTGTCAGAGGAAAGTTAAATCATCTCACAGTGTTTATTCTCAGTGTTTTGCCTTAAACCTTTTCTCTCTACTGGAGTCTTCTGTGCCTGCCTTTTCTTGCTGTTATCTTGTAGAAATGCTACCATCTTGTGATGCTTATTGCCCCTTTTTTCTTATTTTTTTCTTGTATGGATTTTATTGTGGGTGAAATTCTGTAAGAATGTTTCTTCTCAAATTAGAAGGGTAAGATTATTTTTACAGTAGATTGTTCTGTTTAGTTAAGTTTGTGCCTTTTTTTTTCTTAGATATTTATTTGTTCTTCAATTAAAACAAGATATTCTCAGTGGAAAGTGAGTATTAGTGACATAAGGTAAACAACTTTTTCTTGAGTAGCTGAAAAATGTTTTTGAAAAATAAATTGTAATTATGAAAAAGAAACAGTCAAGATAAAGTATGTATTTCCATTTGTCTTAAAATGAAAGTTGTGAAATTGACTTGTTTAACCAATTTTCTGTTTGTTCTCAGATTGGAGTGTCCCTTTGATACAGCAGTTCAGTTGGCAGCTTATAATCTGCAAGGTAAGCAGTTCTCATGTTGACTGTTAGGAGTTAAGTATCATTTTTTCAGTGTGTGTTAAAGAATTTCAAAAGATTTAAATTCATGTGCAAGAAGAAAACCAGCACTGTTTTTGTGCAAATTTGTATCAGTATCCAACTCTGACTCAGTTTTCACTTGTTTTAGAACCTTGCCTTCTATTTCTCCCCTTTTGCTTCTTTTGCTTTTTTTTTCTGTCAATAGTGTTTCCAAACAAAAGTCATAGTCTACTTGTTAAATGTTAAATTCAGTAAATGTTATAATTGACACTCAGCTAATTTTTTTCTTGAATACAGTTATATATTAGTAAGTTGCTATTGGCATATGGTTTACTTTAGTCTTATTCTTAAAAATGAATCCATGAAGGAATTACTTAAGAGTGTATTTAAAAGTTTCTGATAGTTATTTTGAGTATAAAAATGTTTTCCAGTAAATGAGAATAATGAAAACCTCAAATCTTGTACCTTGTTTAACTGATCACATACTATTAAACTTAGGGATTTTCTGCTGAAAAATTGACATTTTAGTAAAACTATAAGTTCAGTCATTCACAAAATGGAAAAAATTTTCTGATTATAATTTCATACTTTTTGAGGGGGGGATGCTGATTCCATGTTTATCCCCAATAATTGCTATTATGTAGATAAGACTAAATTGTTAATGTTTTGTGCTACACCTAATATTTTGCTTATTTTGTGCTACCACTATTTAAGAAAGCATATTTTCCTGTTGATGGAGGGATTGATGAATGGAGGAAATTTCTGTACTTTAGAAATTTGCAACTAGTATAAATTGTTATTTGCTTGTCTCCATCTACTATCCTAGCCCATCTACAAATTAAAACTTTTCTCATTTGCAGACTATCAACTAGATACTAGCTTGGAAATGCTATGCCTCTAGCATTATAATAATCAGAAGTATATAATTATATGCATCTTTCTTGAAAGCACATTTTTTATATTAATTCCTGTGTGAAGTTGTTAATTCTAAAATTCTTTGATCTACTGAAAAGCTGTCATTTTCAATATCTGTTATACCATTTATTTTGTTATATAGTCTGAATTGAAAATACAGTTTTTATACATTTTGGTGTATTTAACAAAACACTTCAGAATAGTGCTCACTAAATACTCTTTGATTTATACATGTGACTGTTATATTATCTCTTAGCCCTACTTACATATATATTTTTAAATAAAATTTCTACTTGATCTTTTCACCCATGGCACCATTATTTTGGATTCCTCCAAATTTCATGTTATGTCTTATGCATCCCATTGTCCCCTGTCTAGTATTTTAGCAAATCCTATTAGTTCTTAAGGTCCTTAAGAATAAACATGCTGAAGTATTACACTTATCTTCATAAAATAACTTTTTTATTAGCTTTTTCTCATACTCTCAAGTTCACTTATCTGAATCATTTCAGTATATATATTCTGAACAACATGGTGTAGCAGATTTGGTTTGGAGTTCCTTAAAGACACTGTGGTCCAGGCAAAAGAGCAATTTCTTTAGCAATGAAGGGGTGTGATAGTATTCTTCAAGGTTGTTGTGAAGTTAATAGACAGTACATTTGTAATATATCTACTGTGTAGAGTAGGTGCTCAATAAATAATGTTATCACCCTGACTGGTGTGGCTTAGTTGTCTAGGTGTTGTCCCACAAAGTAGAAGGTCGATGGTCAGGACACACATGCCTGGGTTGTGGGTTTGGTCCCCTGTCAAGGTGTGTACAGGAGGCAACTGATCGATTTTTCTCTCTCACATCGATGTTTCCAGCTCTCCCTTGCCTCTCCTCTCTCTAAAAACGAAAAATAAAATATTTTAAGAAAATGTTACTACTATTTTTATGATTATCTCAATGTAGTTTTCTCTCTTGGTAGCTAGATTTTTTTTTATAAAAATGGAAATATTTTAAGTTTTTTAATGCACAAGATACTCGTTTAAAGGAAAAAATATAAAGTATAGAAAACTAGAATGTTTTCCCTTCTTGCCCAAACCCACAGTTTAGAGGTAGCCACAGATAAGTATATAAATGTTTGTGCATTGTTCAGTTCTTTTCTGCTGCCTTTCTTCTCCAAATATATTTTAGCAAGACTGTATTTAAAATTAATAATTCAAAATTCTAGGAGCATAACATCTTATAGTGCTATATGCTGATGCATTCTTTGCATATTATATTCTTAACAGATACCAGCTAATTGTTAAGGATTGCTAAATATTCTTATTTATTCATTATAAAGTCAAAAGTTATTTCCCTGTGGAAGTCTAGGAAGAGGTTTTCACACAAAAGATAAACATAATAAGATTCAAATAAATTAAAAAGATATTTAATTAGAAATACACCGTTAACCTCAAACATGTCACTTGTGTGTATAGAAAAAGAAGTCTTCAGCTTCTGGCCAAGATGGAGGCATAGGTAGACACACTATGCCTCCTCAGCCAGCCAAAAGAAGGACAACAACAATTTAAAAACAAAACAAAAAAATAACCAGAACTGACAGAAAATTAAACTGTATGGAAGTCCGACAACCAAGGAGATAAACAAGAAACATTCATCCAGACCATTAGGAGGGGTGGAGATGAGCAGCCAGCCAGAGAGGACTTGTGGCAAGGCGGTGGCTGGCAGACCTGGCAAGGTGGCAGCTGGTGGAGCGTGTGACCCACATTTGTGTGCAGATAAACCGGGAGGAACAACTGGGAAGCGAGACAGATGGCTCAACCCAGGGTCCCAGAGCTGGGAAATAAAGCTTCAAACCGCTGATTGAAAACAGTTGTGGGGGTTGAGGTATCAGCAGGAGAAACTCCCAGCCTTGCAGAAGAGTTCTTTGGAGAGACCCACAGGGTCCTAGAATGTACACAAGCCCACCCACCCGGGAATCAGCACCAGAAGGGCCCAATTTGCTTGTGGGTAGCAGGGTAAGTGACTGAAGACTGTCAGAGAGCTGACCAAGTATCATATTCCTGTCTCAGACCCCTCCCCCACATAGAGTGTCACAAAGCAGCGATGTGAGTTACCCTGCCCTGGTGAACAAACACCTAAGGCTCTGCCCCTTACTACATAACAGGCACAGTGAGACCAAAAAAAAAAAAATGGCCCAAATGAAGGAACAGATAAAAGCTCCAGGAAAAATATAACTAAGTGATGAAGAGATAGCCAGTCTATATGATACACAGTTCAAAACACTGGTAATCAGATGCTCACAGAAATGGCTGAGTACGGTTACAAAATAGGGGAAAAAATGAAGGCTATGCTAAGTGAAATAAAGGAAAATGTACAGTGAATCAACAGTGACAGGAAGGAAACTGGGACTCAAATGAACGGTTTGGATCAGAAGGAAGAAACATTCAACCAGAACAGAATGAAGAAATAAGAATTCAAAAAAATGAGGAGAGGCTTAGGAACCTCCAGGACATCTTTAAAAGTTCCAACATCCGAATTATAGGGGTACCAGAAGGAGAAGAGGAAGAGCAAGAAACTGAAACCTTATTTGAAAACATAATGAAGGAGAACTTCCCCAAAATGGCAAAGGAAATAGACTTCTAGGAAGCTCAGAGAGTCCCAGAGAAGTTGGACCCAAAAAAGAATACACCAAGGCACATCATAATTACTTTAGTCAAGGTAAAAATGAAGGAGAGAATCCTAGAAGCAGCAAGAGAAAAGGAGACAGTTATCTACAAAGGAGTTCCCATCAGACTGTCAGCTGATTTCTCAAAAGAGACCTTACAGGCAAGAAAGGGCTAGAAAGAAATATTCCAAGTCAGGAAAGGCAAGGACCTACATCCAAGATGGCTCTATCCAGCAAAGCTTTCATTTAGAATGGAAAGGCAGATAAAGTGCTTCTCAGATAAGATCAAGTTAAAGGAGTTCATCATCATCCAGCCCTTATGATATGAAATGTTAAAGGGACTTATCTAAGAAAAAGAAGATAAAAAAATATGAACAGTAAAATGACAACAAGCTCACAGCTATGAACAACCACACCTAAAACAAAAACAAAAACAAACTAAGCAAACAACTAGAACAGAAACAGAATCACAGAAATGGAGATCACATGGAGAGTTATCAACAGGGCAGTGGGAGTGGGGGAAAGGTACAGAGAATTAGTAGTATAGAGAATAGGTAGAAAATAGACAGGGGGAGGTTAAGAATAATATAGGAAATTTAGAAGCCAAAGAACTTACGTGTATGACCCACAGACATGAACTAAAGAGGGAGGAATGTGGGTTGGAGGGGCTGTGCAGGGCAGAGGGGAATGGGGGGTGATGGACAACTGTAATAGCATAATCAATAAAATATATTTAAAAAATAAAATGTAAAATACAAGTTAAAAATAAATAAATAAAAGAAGTCAGCCTGGCTGGCATAGCTCAGTGGATTGAGCGCAGGCTGAGAACCAAAGTGTCCCAGGTTCGATTCCCAGCCAAGGTACATTCCTAGGTTGCAGGCCATAACCCCCAGCAACTGCACATTGATGTTTCTCTCTCTCTCTCTCTCTCTCTCTCTCTCTCTCTCTCTCTCTCTCTCCCTCTCCTCCCTTCCGTCTCTAAAAATAAATAAAATATTAAAAAAAAAAAAAAGAAGTCATCAGTATAAACTAGGTGAATTTTTGGGACTAGTTTGGGTGTTGACAATTCCTAATAATTTTATGAAAGAATCTTTATAATCTTGGCAATATTTATTAATAAAATTGGTTGCAGAGGAAGATTTGGAAGGAAATAAACTTATTAGCAAAGTATAACTTTGTGAAACTTACATTTGTAGCTGAACTTGGTGACTATGATCTTGCTGAGCATAGTCCTGAACTTGTATCTGAGTTCAGGTTCATGCCCATTCAGACTGAAGAGATGGAGCTGGCTATTTTTCAGAAATGGAAGGAATACAGGTACTTGACATTTTATCACACTTTCTGTAACATCACTATAATAATGATCTGATATTTGTTTTCTTCTATTTCTATACTTGGTATATAATTCAGTTTACATTTATTATTATTTAAAAAATTTATTTATTTTATTTCAGAGGTCAGACACCAGCACAAGCTGAAACCAATTATCTGAATAAAGCCAAATGGCTAGAAATGTATGGGGTTGATATGCACGTGGTCAAGGTAAGCACTCTGTTGTGATGCTTTTGAAAAAATTCATTGCTTCAAGATTCAAGCTATGAAATTTTTCAATCTGAGAAAGGCCATGGAGTGTACATGCGATAGCAGGGGGTACTTTAGATGAGTGGTTTATAAGGGCTGAGATTATATACTGAATGATAAGAATCTCACATACAGGTTAATTATAAGAAAGAAGACAGACAAGCAAAATTTCCAAAAAGTGTATCTTCTCTTTTAAGCTGCTGTTTCTTTTCAGTTTTTTAAAACCACCTTTTGATTTTTCACTTCATATCATCTTACATCATGTAACACAAGCAGGTTCTATAAAAATTAAAATAGTTGAGGAAGCAAAGTTCAAAATCTGTAACTTTATAGAGGACTTTGGTAAGCTGTAGTATAGCTTGTGTATGATTTAAGATATTTCTAGTTTAAGTAGCTAAAATTTCCCAGAAACAGTTTTTTTTCAAAATTTGTGATTTAAGTGGTGAACAGAATATGGGAAGAATCTGGAAAGAGCTTTTGTTGTAGTGGGAGTGTAATTATTTTCAGTGAAGACATACCTTTAAAATTATAGTATTTCAATGAGCTAATTGTACACATTAATATTCCTGGGAATGTTGTTTTGGATACTCTGTTGAAAACACCTTGTGAATTAATATTACTGGTATATAATTAATATAATTCACTGTGGAAATAAAATTAAACAGTTGTGTAAAATTGTGAAACTTGTTTTATGCAAATAAAGCTAACACATTTCACTTTCCTTAAATTAGGCCAGAGATGGGAATGACTATAGCTTGGGACTAACTCCAACAGGAGTTCTTGTTTTTGAAGGAGAAACCAAAATTGGCTTATTTTTTTGGTAAGCAGAGTTAATGTCCAAGATTTTTATTGTTGTTTTGTTTTTTAATATGTAAAAACATTTATATGAAGTTAGTATATAAAATAGAACTTGGAAATCAAATAGTTCTGAAAAGCTTCTAAATGAATTGAAACTCTCTGTTGTCATACTCCTACCCATCTTTATTCCCAGTAAAACTCTCCTGCCCTCACTTTCCATTAGTTCCAAGGTAGGTCAACATGCATGTTTTAATATGAATATTACATATTTCTGTATGTATTAAATGTTCACATGGGCACTCACTCTTGTCATGAAGTTATGTCAGTATATTTAGTACTTCTTTTTCCACAGCCTTTTTACTCCCTACTCCTTATTGTATAAGAGGAAGATATTAATACTTTTACATCTCTTTTTAATCTATGCTTCTCTTCTATGTCCCAACTTCTGTCATCCAAACTTTTAAATTATATTTGTGTTTTACATTAAGGATAGATATATAACCATAGTTAAGAGCTTCAGGTTTTGTCTGGTTGGTTTTAAAAGCTGAAAATCAGGAAATAGTGTTTACATTACTATGTCTGTCTCAGAACTGTTACAGACTTTAGTAGAATATTGGTGTTATATATGTGGGCTGAAGATGGCCCTGTGTGAGGATGTGAGGACTGTTATTTAGCTCAAAGTCCGCCAGCATAAAACTCAAATTCTTACACATCCATTTGCTTTACATATAGCCTAGTAAGTATATTTTTAGCCATTTAGAACCTGTCTTTTTTGCATATCCTACTGAAAACTGCTAGCAGTAGATGAAACAAATCTTTTAGCTATATAAGACTCCAAACCACTACTGCCCTTTAGAGCTCTCTGACTGAGAGAATTCCCCATTGCTGCTGAATGCCATTGCCTAGACACATAAGCCTCCTCTCTGATTCCCTTCCTTTCTGGCAGTTCCCGTGCCGTCTTCTCCTTCTAGGTGGTGGTCCTGTGCCATTTGTCTCTAGATGTTCTCCACCTGTAAAGGACTTCCCTCTTGTGCAACCCTGTCCAAACACCTTTCAACAAAGCCCATTGTGCAATACTGCTGTCTCTCTCTCTCTCTCTTTTTCCTGATGTACCCTAAAATCCAAAATCCTTGAAATCACAACTGGGATTACCTTTCCTTACTGTATAGCTTTTTGTTTTTACTAATGCTCTTGGCTCCTCCTCCCCCAGTGGCTTGCACAGCACCACATACATCCCTTTAAATTACCTGCCTTTGTGTTCTCAACTTCTTTAAAATTCTCAAGGGTTACATGAAATGATTCTTCTATTTCATTGTGACCTGTTTGCTGTCCAAGATGCTCTGTAGCTTTTATCTTGGGACTTCCAATTTGGTTCTCAGCCAGGATCCTGTGTTTTCTTCCCATATTTTTTTCTCTGTGCTTTTGTTTTTTCTGACTTTATATATATATTTATATATATTTTCTCAACTGCTTGAGAAAAGGGTGTAGGAGATAAAATATTTGAATCCTTGGATGCCTTAAAATGGTATATTTTTCTCTTAATGCTTTCTTGATAATTGAGCCAAGAATGGAATTTTAGGTTGAAAAGTATTTCCCCTTAAGGAGTTGAGGATAGCATTTCATTTGTTTCTGCATCCAGGTGTCCCTGCTAGGGGCTTTCCTGAGAGGCTTGAGCGGAGGACCTTCATTACTGTCCCTTGCTGGGTGAGGGAGCTTTGGTGTTTGTTTATTTACCCAGTCCTTGAGTGTTAATTCTCTGACACTTCCAGCTTGCCCAGTGGGCTAATGAGATATGCTTCATGGTCAGAAAATGCTGTAGGCAGTGAGATAAAGCATCTTTATCTCGTAGATTGTTGTTAGAATGAATTCAATTAAAACACATAAAATACTTAGAAGACTACCTGATACTTAGTAGGCATTATGTAAGTATTTGTTACACTTAAATAAGTGATAGATACCCCTCCTCCACCTATTACATTTACTATTTTAGTACAGCTCTTGTAAGCAGCTATCTTTTACAGTTATATTTTATGTAGATTATGTTTAAAATTAGTGAGAATTGCATTGTTTTGGCATTTTACAGTTCACAGAAGTAGAGAGTTCAAATGTGATAGGATGTTTAGGGTTTTCGTACAGGAGAGAGTTGGAAAGTGGGCCATAAAGTGAGGTTAAAATTTTATTTTTTTAATTAAAGATGTATTTCCTCAAACCAAAATTGCTGTAGAAAATAGAGTTGAGGACCATAATTAATCATTTGTTTTCCTCTATGCTTTTAAAAAAGCTTTATAGTCTTTCTTGTGTCCAGTTCCTGGGTTGCTGCTTTGACACTAGGCCTGAGGGTCCCTTACACTGTATTTGGGAGCCTATGAAGTATATATTTTTTAAAAGATTTTGTTTGTAGAGAGAAGGGAAGTGGGGGAGAAAGAAAGGGAGGGGAACATCAATGTGTGGTTGCCTCTCACACACCCTCTACTGGGGACCTGGCCCACAATCCAGGCATATGCCCGGACTGGGAATCAAACTGGTGACCCTACAGTTTGCAGGCCGACTTTTAATCCGCTGACCCACACAAACCAGGGCAGGGGGCCTTTGAAATACTTATATGGATTTCTCCAATTGTTTTTCCTTAACATTTTTCTTTTAAGCCTCATCAGGGACATTTTTATTGATTTTAGACAGAGAGGGAAGGGGGGAGAGAGAGAAAGAGAAATATTGATGTAAGAGAGAAACACTGAACAATTGCCTCCCGTACATGCCCTGACTGGGGATTGAACCCTCAACCTAGTTATGTGCCCTGACCGGGAATCAAACCCACAACCTCTTGGTGCACAGGACAACGCGCCAGCCAACTGAGCCACTGGGCCAGGGCTCCTTAACATTTTTAATGCCTGATACATGTGTAGCATTAATTTGCTAGAGTTAATTGCTTTTGAAACTTTTTTCCCCTTACTAACTATTTTTATCATTGGAGGCCTTCTTGATGGGCAGTGCAGGTTATGTTTTAATATGTTTTAATTTATGTTATTAATGTGCTTGAATTAACAACAACATTTTTGTGACATTTATTTGAAATCTAGCTATTATTCTGATATTGTTACAGGCCTAAGATAACCAGATTGGATTTTAAGAAGAATAAATTAACCCTGGTGGTGGTAGAAGATGATGATCAGGTGGGAATTATATTTCATTACTTATTAACAGTGACTGTGTTGTGTGGTAACTTAAATTTATTTTTTTAAGATTTTATTTATTTATTTTTAGAGAGGGGAAAGGAGGGAGAAAGAGAGAGGGAGAAACGTTAATGTGTGATTGCCTCTCAGTGCCCTTCATTGGATACCTGGTCCGAAACCCAGGCATGTGCCCTGACTGGGAATCAAAGCAGCGATTCTTTGGTTTGCAGCCCACGCTCAATCTGCTGAGCTACACCAGCCAGGGCTTAAGTTTCTAAAAGAAGAAAATGTTCCTTGTTTTATAGAGCCATAGAATTAAATAAAGTATTCTAAACTAAGGATTATTTTTTTCCCAGTTGAATGTAGTTCCTAACTTATACACACAATGACATGGGCTCATTTCAAATGCATTATACTGAATGAAAGAGGCCAGACTCAAAAGATCATGACCATGTGAGTTTATTTATATGACAGTCTGGGAAAGGGAAACCTCTAGGAATGGAGACTAGATCACTGATTATTTGGGACTAGGTGGAGTGAGGAACAGCACAATGAATTTTGGGGAATGAGATAACCAATTTGTATCCTGATTTTGGTGGTGGTTGCTATTTTTAACCTTTTTAAAATCTCATGGCACATATAAACTAATCACCAACATTCTGCGGCATACAAAAAATACATATTTTTGCCAATCTGACAAACAAAAAGAGGTATTATTTTGATTTATTCATACCAAACAGTTATTGTTGTGTTGGTTTTTGTCTTTTTTTTTATTATTTGACAGTCTAAGGGAAAAGAGGTCAGTGCCTCTGACTAAATAGTCAGGTGTTGCATGTTTTAGAAATTCTTGTGGCACATCAGTTGAAAATCACTGCTTTGTGCATTTGTCAAAACTTACAGAATTGTTAAATAAAAATATTTTTAATGCCTGCAAAGAAATAAATATGAAAAACACACATATTGGTAAATATAGATAAAAACATATTGGTTGAATGTTAACAAGATTTATATTCACAATGAAGTTTGAGGAGGACTACATTAACAGAACCTAAAAAAAAAGAAGATTCTGAAAATTAGATGGAATTGTGCTAAGTTTTGAAGTTCTATTACTGAGATACATACAAAGGATTGCCCTATCACATAGCCTGGAAGATAATCAGAAACAATAATGGGTTATTTTAAAAAGGAAACTCTTGGTGGCACAGAAGATAATCATTATATCATTAACAAACGAGTTGAAAATGATTCAGAAGAGGCAGATGTCACATTTAAAAATGTTTTACCAATATTTTCCTTTTTATGTAAGCACATATATGATTAAATGATATTTGTATGTAAATCTAAAGGTAGCTTTTCAAAAAGAAGAAAATATTCTATGTGATAAGAAAATATGGTCATAATTTAATTGGTGACACTTGTTTTTTTTAGGCCATAAAATAATTCTACATCTTACGGTTGGTAGCATTTAGATTAGCTCTAATACATAATACAGCATTAGCTTCTTGGATTTTTTTAAAAGTTATTTTATAGATATATGCACGCAAATATATATATATCAGTTTTTGTTAATACAAGCTAGCGTGGTTATGTACTGTCCTCTTACCCTTTTTTAACTTTACATTATAACCTGGAATTCTTCATGTCAATATATAAAGTGCTCCTTTGTTCTTATTTAAAACACAAACTAGAACTGCGTAATATTCTAGGATGTACCCTAATTTATTGAATCAGTTCTCAGTTAATGACATTCACTGTATAGACATTAATTTGTACACTCTCAAGTATCTATAGGATAATTCCCTGGAGGAGGTGGATTTGCTGGTTCAAGGTTATGTGCATTTGTTATAGATCTAGAGAGAGCCTCTCAAGTTGCACTATTTATCTGTATAAACCTGTTTCCAGGAATTATCACATTATCTGAAAGGTGAAAATGGAATTTCATTACGTTTCATTTTTTTTCTATTATTATGAGTGATATTGAACATTTCTTCGTACATTGGAGTTACTTGTATTTCCTTTTCTCCAAACTGTCTATTTGTATCCTCTGCCCATTTTCCTTTTGTATTGTTGGCCTTTTTTCTTCCAGGTTTTGCCTGTTGTTGTAGAATTATAAATATTTTATCTAATCATTGTTTGTCTTTCAGCACTGCTTGTTGTAATTTTTGCTGTTTATTTTAAAATTTTAAATAGGTGAATTTGTCAGTTATGGCTTTTGGGTTTTGCGTCATAGAAAGGTTTTCCTACTTTGAGTTTATATGTTTTTCCCATGTTTTTTTCTGGGTAGTTTTTGTTGGTAAATTTTGTGGAAGTATTACACACATTCAGATAAGTGCAGAAATAAGTGTACAGCTTGTTGGATTTTCACATATACCTGTATGACCAGCATCCAGATGAAGAAAAAGAATGGTACCATAATAATAGAATCTTCTTTGTGCCCCCACCAGCTATAGTCCCCCAAGGGTAACCACTGTCCTGACTTTAACACCGTAGATTAGTTTTTATTTACACTTATTTTAAACTTACGAAAACTGACTGGATGTTCTCTTTGTGTCTGGCTTCTTTATTTCAACATTATATTTATGAGCATTAGCCCTGTTTCAGTGAGTAGTTGTAGTTGGCTTATTGTATATGTAATATATATTGTTACATAGAATATAGTATCCCATTTCATGAGCAGACCACACTTATTTATCTGTGATAGACATTTGAATTCTTTTTAATTTTCAGCTATTAAGAAGAGTGCTGCTCTAAACAGTAGCTTGTGCATGTGCTTAGTTTTTGTGGGTACTGCCAAATTGTTTTCCAAAGTGGTTTTTTATTATCATTTTTTTATTAGTGTTCGAATACAGTTGTGTCCATTTTCCCACCACCACTTTCCCCTACCCCAGCTACCCCCACCTCACACCCTCAATCCGACCCACCTTTTGCTTTGTCCGTGGGTCTTTTATACGTGTTCCTTGATGATTCTTTCCCTCCTTCCTTTCTCCTGTTATCTCGGTCTAGCCTCCCCTCTGATTACTGTCAGTTTGAGCTTTATTTCAGTGTCTCTGGTTATATTTTGCTTGTTTGTTTTGTTGATTAGGTTCCACTTATAGGTGAGATCATATGGTATTTGTTCCTCACAGCCTGGCTTATTTCACTTAGTATAAGGCTCTCCAGTTCCATCCATGCTGTCACAAAGGGTAGGAGCTCGTTCTTTCTGCTGTATAGTATTCCATTGTGTAAATGTACCATCATTTTTTGATCCATTCATTTATTGATGGGCACCTAGGTTGCTTCCAGCACTTGGCTGTTGTAAATTGTGCCTCTATGAACATTGAGGTGCATGGGTTCTTTGGAGCTACTGTTTCAGGATTCTTAGGGTATAATCCCAGCATTGGAATTGCTGGATCAAAAAGGCAGATCCATTTTTAGTTTCCTGAGAAAATTACATACTGTTTTCCACAGAGGCTGCACCAGTCTGTGCATTCCCACCAACAGTGCACTGGGGTTCCATTTTCTCCACAACCTCGCCAGCATTCGTTTGTTGCTTTGTTTATGATGGCCATTCTGACTGGTGTGAAGTGATATCTCATTGTGGTTTTAATTTGCATCTCTCTGATGAGTAGTGATGCTGAGTATCCTTTCATGTGTCCCTGGGCCCTCTGTATGTCCTCCTTGGAGAAGTGTCTGTTCAAGTCTTTTGCCCATTTTTTAATTGGATTGTTTGTCTTCCTAGAGTGGAGTTGTGTGAGTTCTTTATGTGTTTTGGAGATCAAACCCTTATCCAAGGTAATTATTGGCAAATATATTTTCTCATACAGTTGGTTCCCTTTAGATTTTGTTAATGTTTTCTTTAGCCATGCAGAAGCTTTTTATTTCAAGGAAGTCCCATTGTTTATTCTTTCCTTTATGTCCCTTAGTCTTTCCTTTATGGACAGATTGGTGAAAATACTGCCTTGTGCAGTATTTGAGATTTTCCTGCTAATGTTCTCTAGAACTTTTATGGTATCATAACTTATTTTTAAGTCTTTTATCCACCTTGAATTTATTTTTTGTGTATGGTGTAAGTTGATGGTTGAGTTTCATTTTTTTGCATGTAGCTATCCAGATCTCCCAACACTATTTGTTGAAGAGGCTGTTTTTACTCTATTTCATGCTTCTTCCCCCTTTGTCCAGTATTATTTGACTTTAGAGACTTAAGTTTCCTTCTAGGCTCTCTATTCTGTTCCATTGATCCATGTCTGTTCTAATTCCAGTACAAGGCCCTTTTGATTTCCTTGGCTTTATAATATAGTTTGATGTCAGGTATGGTGATCCCTCCTACTTTGTTCTTCTGTCTCAAAATTGCTGAGGCTATTCAGGGTCATTTATGGTTCCCTTTAAATTTTTGAAATGTTTCTTTTATATCTATGAAATATGTCATTGGTATTATAATAGGGATTGTGTTGAATCTATAAATTTTGGGGGGTAGTATGAACATTCTGATGATGTTCATTCTTCCACTTCATGAACATAGTATATGCTTCCATTTGTTTGTGTGTTCCTTAACTTCTTTCTTCAGTGCTGTATAGTTTTCTGAGTACAGGCTTTTAACCTCTTTGGTAAGGTTTATTCCTAGGAACTTTATTTTTCTTGTGGCTATACCAAATAAGATTGTTTTTCCTGATTTCTGTTTCTGTTATTTCATTGTTGGTATACACAAATGCCTTTAATTTCTGAATGTTGACTTTGTATCCCACTGCTTTCCCAAATTCACTTGTTAGGTCAAGTAATTTTTTGGTGGAATCTATAAGGTTTTCTGTGTATGCTGTTATGTCATCTGCAAACAATGACAGTTTTACTTCCTCCTTTCCAGTTTGTATACCTTTTATTTCTTCTTTTCTGTTCACTGTGGCTAAGACTTCCAATACTATGTTGAATAGAAGTGGTGACAGCAGACACCCTTGTTTTGTGCCTGATCTTAGGGGAAAGGTTTTAGGTTTTGCCCATTGAGAATGATGTTGGCTGTAGGTTTTTCA